GCGGTGGAGCCACTGCGCCCGGGACCCGGGGCCGATGCACATCATCTGGCCCGTGTTCATCCAGTACTGCGCGCAGTGCGGCAGGAGCTCGGCGTCGGCGACGCGCAGGAGCAGCGGATGCACGAGGACGCGATCCAGAAACGTCCGCGACCGCGCGGCGAGGCGCGTGAACCGCTTCGTGTTGCCGCCCCAGAACTCGGCCACGTCCGCGTCGTCGGCGGCGGTGCCGGGCGCCGTCGCGCGGAAGGACGCCTCCGTTTCATCCCGCAGCTTCGCCAGCGTCTCCGGCGACAGCATGTCCTCGACGATGACGGCGCCGTCGCGCTCGTAGGCCGCCCAGATGTCGTCGAACTTCGCCGTCGCTGGGAACCGTCGCAGCGCCGGTTTTTTCGCGGACCGGCGCAGGCGTCGACGCAGCGCGCCGACGGCGGCGGCGCCGGCGACGGCCCACGCCGCGGCTTCGAGCGCGTCGATCATTCCTCGAGCAGCGCGCGGCCCGTCGCGCGCGCGAGGCAGAGCAGGATGTGAGACACGGCGAGTCGGGGCAGCGTCGATCGGCCTCAAAGCGCTCCTTGCTGTGGATGTCGACCTCCCCGTAGGGATCCCTACTGGTCTTTGCAGAAACGTTGTCCGCAACAAAAAACGAAGTTAACTTATCCAGCGTCTCATCCAGTGAGTGGTTGCGAAGCAGCGAGTGATGCAGCGACAATTTTGGCCATTTGCAGCAGGTGCACCGCGCGCAGCAGAGGGAGCAGCGAGTCGCGCAGCATGTCGCGCAGCGTGTGGGAAGACCGATCTTAGCCCATGCGAGCCCCGAGACAGCGCGGAGTGGTTTTTCGACACCCCTGACCCCGACTTCCCATAGCGAAGTACTCTCCGTTGTGCCCATCGTGGGCCAGATCATGCCGAACGGGCTGCCCGATAATCGACGCGTCCATCGACTTGCTGCAATATTTATCGACTTGCTGCGGGGATTCCGTCTTCAGCTTCACTTGTTGCGGACAACGTTTCTGCAAAGACCAGTATTGCGCTACCTCGGCATCGCCGTCGTGTTGAAGAGGCTCGACGCCGTCGACGCAAGCTCTGCGAGAGCATGCACCTCGGCTTGTCGGGGCGTGGCTACGGCGACGGACGGCTCGTGGGCGCGGCGGTTCCATGACTTCATATGGCGACCGCATATTCGAGTTTCTGAAGGACACACGGCACTACCGCGCACGGCTCGAGCGCCTCGAGGCGGGCGGCGAGGACGACGGGCCGCCGCTGCCGCCCGTCTTCCCGCTTTGCGACCCCCGTCAGCTGAGACACAGTTGGCAGTACCTGACATCGGCTGAGATCGACGCTGCTGGCCTCAGCCGCTGTTCACTCTACCGGGCACCCAAGCCCGGCGA